GCCCCCCCCCCCCCCCCGGCCCCCTTTTCTTTTCTTTTTGAGCATAAGCTCGAATTGATTTGAAAGATCCTAGCTATGCATTTGTATAAGGGAAGAATTAAATATTTAAGGTAGTCAAGAGATATAATTTCAAAATTTAAAAAAAAAATTCTTTTAAAGTTTCAAAAATCAGGTCATAATTAAAATTTACTAATTTCATAATTAATTAAATATATTAATAACACAATACTATACAGTTTATGGTCATAGTTACATATTAGCTACAATTACAGAATGTCACTGTCACAAATCATAAATTTTATAGGTTACAACTTTTTCATTGTTACAAATTATCAAATTAATTGGTCACAAAATTATTTCTCAATCATGAATTATCAAATTAATTCATCACAAGTTAATAAATTATAAGTTACAATTACAAATTTAGTTAAATCTCACTTTTTTTAGATCATATTTTATTTATTGATCACAAATTATCTATTTCATCGATCATATACTATTTATTGGTGACAAATTAACCAATTTATTTATCATAATTATTCAAATAATTAATCACAAACACTCTTCACATTCCCCCACCCCCTACCATCAGCATTGCCACAACCATCATTTGAGACCACTACCATCGCCAGAATCACGACCACCCCCATCACCTCACCATCGCTTGCATCACCTCCACCATCAAAAACCACCAAAAAATACCAGCACCAGATCGTTACCCAATTTGCAAGATTTTCCTCAGATCGCATCATTAGGGTTTTGGGTGGGCGGGGTTGGATATGTATATTAATTTTAGTTTATTATATAATTATTGATATTTTGAATTATCATCTGATTTTTGAATAAAAACTTTTACACCTTATTTTTTTATTAAAATGTTAAAAATATGTGTGTGCGTGTGTAATTTTCATTTCATATGAATGTATAAAGTGTTGGAACGAATGTTTTGTACTATAAATACTTGGTGAATTGGGTTTGATTAGCCCATCTTCCCGTGTAAGCAAGGTCCAATAAAACATGTCCGGCCTATGTCAATTTTCTGGGAAATAGCAGCCAAGATTTTATAATCTGTAGTTTTACTTTCACTTTCGTCCCCAATCTTTCTTTCCAGACACTTTCGTCCCCAATCAAGTTCTCTCAATCATATCTAATCATACCGTCAACTTTCGTAAAAAATTACAGGTTATATAGCAAAATCTCTTTGGAATCAATTAAAATTTGCTTGAGATCGCATTACATATTTGTCAAATGCACGTTTTTCGGTGCAACATTTAATACTTGTACGATCTTTAAAATTCTTCGTACTACAAAACTTAGAAGCACGAAGCTACAAAAATTATAGACATTTCGTAAATATACTAGGGTTAAATCCTTAATTTTTATCATTGTTCTAATATTTTTTGAGGACAAGAATGTTAAAATCACTAACGGTCCATTCTGCCACTTGATTGGGGTCTTTATAAATTTCAGTCCCCAAATCTACAGATGTCCATTTCCTCCTAGCTGGAGGTGTCCCTGGATCCTGCAAATAAATAATCTAGTCAATTGCACTATTCAGTATTTTCTAATTTTACCTTATACAATTGATAAAGTTAGGATCGAAAACCTGGTAGAAATAAAGGGATTGAGATAGCCGCCCAACGTCGAGCTCCCATGTTCTCGGATCACCTATCCACCCTTCCCCTTTCCTCGTCGGGTATCCATAATCACCCCATACAGGGTGCGGCAAAATTTGCAATATCTCCTGAGGTTGAGGATTACTATACGGATCGCACAAGACATGAGGACTCTCGGCGAATTCTGCGTTACCCGGTAAACAGTGCATGTGATACGCCTTGTATGGGAAATGAGCAATGTCATTTCGATGAACTCGACTCCCATTAGGAAACGTGTGGTATGGGGGACACAATTTTGCATCGTTTGGATTGCACCAAGATGGTGTGTCTGGATTTAGTATCATTTCACTATATCGAGTTACGTCTGAAGTAACATCACCATCACATGGTTGGCCATTGTTTTTCCAGCAGCTCCCTATGTCCAACAAGTAAAATTGGCTGCCAGAACCACCACCTCTTATCACATTTAATGTAAATTTCACTTTGAAATTTGGCGACTCTGGAATCTGCATAAAAATGTGATATATGTTTCAGAGGTTAAGCCATAATCTCAATTCCCAGAAAAATATCGAATGGAATGGGAAAGTTAGAAACTCACTCATAGTCCATAGAGATTAAGTTACGCTACTAGTTCGTTGCAGATTTTACGAGGTTTTCTATTTCAAACCTCTCTATCTGAGGTAGAAGAAGACGGGACCCTTGAGATTCCCTCATTTATATAGAAGGTAGGGATGGCCTAATATAGAAATATGAATATCTAACATATTCCTACAATAGGTTTATTCGTGGTAGATTGGATAAATAAATGCCCAGTGCAGCCTCATATACAAATATAGATCTTCTTGAAAAGTATAATCTCCACATCACACATTCCAAAAATGATCTTTTATTAAAAAAAAAAAAAAAAATTATAATGGGAATTTTGTAAAAATAACTGAAAATCCATCAAATATAAAATGGAATTCTGTGAAAGTTAGTTCAATTCTTCATTCTGTCATTGAAGAAGATATCTTGGGTTTTAATGAAGTAATGCAAATCAAAGATGTTGTACCCGTGCACAAAAAATTGATACAAAATCACTAAATCACCCAATTAGAGAAGAATTTACTTACAATTTTCAACATTCCCCTAGTGGAATAATGGTAACCACCAGAAAATCCAGTTGTGGCATCTGCTCTTAAGTAAAGCATCAACCATGGATACTCCACAGAAGTCCTCAAAACATGGTGAAAAATCCAGCTTCCTTTTCCAAGTTCCTTCTCCCATGTTACTGAATAATACGAAATATTTTCATTCAACCCAACGTCCAAATTCCACGACCCGTAAAATGCTCCCTTAAGCGTAGCTCGATCAGGCCCTTGTAACGTAGTATAGTTGTGATAAATCAATGGTTGATTCATGCAACCTTTCCCAAAACACGGGAACCGACTATCAGGACCATAAGGGCCAACTTTAAGGCCATTATTCGGGCATTTTGCTGCGTAAGTGTCCATATTACCATTCTTAAGCATGATCATCCAAAACTGCCAAGGGTTTGGTGTATCTTCAACTTGACATTTATTTCCCAGATAGAGTTCTTTTTCTGCAGCATAAAGGTCTACATTGTCAAATGCCTCTTGTTGTCCTCCAAGAAAAGGTTGACCTACTCCAAGCCGATTTTCTTCTTCTGTAACTCTTTGGACAAGCATGTATGGCATTGAATTGCAAAGCGAACACCTGTTTTCCCCTGCAGAAAATACCAAAAAGTTGAGCTAGGAGATCTTGAAAGATTAGCGAATTTCGTATATGAAAAAAAGTCTTTACCCTGAAGATGCTTGTGTAGACTGGCTAAAAAGGTGTGTTGATGATTAAATCACAGAAATTTAAGAGGGCGTTGTATATAAACTTTCGTATAAAGACTAATTTGGTGTGCTCTTAAAACATCAAACTTAACTAGTTCTCCCATAAGAGTCGAAAAGAAAATAAACTATGACAATGATTAGAGAAATCGAAAAGAAAAATAAAACTCACCTTGTTGAGGAGAAGCTTTATATATGTCAAAGCAATCTGCAGCTCTTGGACTACCCATATTTGGAGTTTCTTCTCCTACCTCATTGCACTGATTCCATGCTTCTATTGCCAATCTCAGTCCATCCTGTCTCATCCCCGGATCTCCAACTGCTGATATGTACTCATTTTCACACCTTACACATATTATTCCATACAAAGAGGCCAAGGCCATAGCCACAAGAAGGGCTTGCAATGTGCAGGGTAAAATTTCTCGTCTTGCCATTGAGAAATTGAGCATTCGTCAATTGCCTCTACTTTAGTTTGCAATTAAAATATGATGGATACTCTTATCAAAAATAGTTAGTGATACTTTTCATTCTAATTGGTAAAGAGTAGCAACATTGAATTGGTTGTTAGTACTTACACTTCTCATAATTTGTTGGTTGCAACCATAAAATGAGAACAAGAAAAGCAATTTGAATTAAAAGCAGCAATCCAAAAGGAACCTTTTAACACATGGACTCTTCTGAAAATGATATACTAGAGTGCATTTATTTTGCATTGACCTATTTTCCAGATGCTTTTGCTTGTCATAATTGCTATCGATCTAGTTGCTTCAGATTTCTTATTACGTTAGCAACGAACAACAATGAATAACAAAGAAGAATTGTGTAGTTGACTTCAAATTTACAATGATTAAACATTTTTTAGGTTGAAAGGAAAGGATAAAGAGAATGCAAGGATGGATTTGTAAATTGAGAACTTGGAATTCAAGGCATGCCTTGATGAAGCCAGAAGTAAGAGGAAGTCAAAAGAAATGGGCTATTCAAATCTTAAGTTACAAATATTCTTTTGTAGAAAATCGTTAGAAACAAGAAGGGGTCCTCCTTGGTTGTTTTGGTGGATGTGGAAAAGATATCTCGTTAAGTGGAAAGCCAATCTAACTTTATAATGAAATTGTACTACTCCTATAGCCACAAAATACAAGAATTATAATTCATATATAACAGTTGAGACGAGAATAGGGCTGTAAATCTAACTGAGTTGTTTGCTGTCGAATAATCTAGCACAAGCTGTGGTGTGAATCGGTCTGTCTTTCTGGGCACATCATTCTAATCGTATGGTCCATGTCCTGAATCGTAATTTCAGAAAAAGAAAAATAGAGAGGAAAATTATGGAGAAAGACAAAAAGTATTGATCGTGTTATTAGATTATACATATAATTCTAGTACTTCAAGAAAGATTATCAGTTGACAAATTGCAATGGTAATGCTATCGATGATTATAAACCTCGTGTCAGAATTCAGCATGTATTTGAGGTGGACATGTAAAAAACTAAGCTTTTAGTCGAGGAGGTTCAACAATTACTCCTTCCCCAGCTAAGAACTCGTGAACATTTCCATCAATTTCTATCGTGCTGCAACCAGGCTCTTTATTTAATCCTCTTTCCCTCATCCTCATCCTCACATCCGTAACATCGTTCCATCTCCCCAAAGATGCGTGAACATTAGACAACTGAACATAACCAGCACTGTCTTTAGGATCAAGCTCTAAAAGTTTTCGAGCAACGTATTCAGCCAATTCTACATCACCATGATTTCTACAAGCAGCCAAGAGAGCCTGCCAAACAATTGGATTTTGTTTCACTGTCGATTTGTTCAGAAGTTCTTTAGCCTCGTTTAACAGACCACGTCGACCAAGCAAATCAACTAGACATCCATAATGTTCAGTAGTAGGTTGAATTCCATAAACATGAACCATATGATCGAACATCGTAAGACCCTCTGACACTAAACCTGCACGACTGCAAGCTGACAATATGCTTATAAAAGTGACCTCATTAGGCGTAAAACCATCAGAAACCAACTGATTGAGCATTTTCAACGCGTGATGTCCCGAACCATGGATGCTCAAACCTGCGATCATTGAATTCCATGTACTAATATCCCTCATCAATGTATTATTGAATACTTCCAAAGCTTTCTCGATGCACCCACATTTTGAATACATATCCACAAGAGCTGTAGCTAGAAAACCTTCCACTTCGATTCTGTTCCTGTCAATGTAAGCATGAACCCACTTGCCTTGGCTTAAAGCTCCAAGGCCGGCACAAGAAGATAGCACGTTTACGAGTGTACAACTATCAGGGCACTCCTTCACACTCTGCATACCCTCAAAAAGCACCAAAACTTCACCAAAAGCACCAGCCTTGGCATATGCACTGATCATAGCATTCCAAGAAACGATGTCTTTCACCAACATCACATCAAAAACATCCCTTGCCTCTTCAATCAACCCACAATTTACATACCCGGAAACCATGAAATTCCAAGACTCCACATTTCTCACCGGCATTTCATCGAACAATTTACGTGCCAACTCTACCAATCCCATCTCTGCGTATACACTCAACAAAGCATTCCACGAAACAACATCATCTTTAAACATCCTATCAAGCAAATTACGTGCCACTTCGAAGCATCCACATTTCGCATACATGTGAATCAACGTATTGTTTATATACACATCATCTCCAAGTCCATCCTTCAAGACAATCCCATGAATTTGTTTCCCTTCTTTACCTCTACGAACTCTAGCACAAGCTTTAAGAATAAACGTGAAAGTATATTTATCTGCATAAACTTCGCTATCTTCACATAACAATTTAAGAAAGATGATAAAGGCTAAAATTGGTGTCTCACTAGTTGCATATGCATGTATCATGGTATTATAAATATAAGAGTTGGGCCGGTGAACGTGGGCGAAAATGGATTCAGCGTAGGAAAGGCCATGATGAGAGATGGTGGTGGCCGCCGTCACAAGGCGACTCACGGCGAATGTTTGTTGAAAAAGGCCAGTTTTGAGCATGTAGGCGTGAGCTTGGTGGAGTTGCGAAATGGAAGTGGCTGCTTCTGTGAGTGAGAGAATTGGTGAAGAAGAGAAACTAGCAGGGACAGACATTGATTCAGTTGTAGCTATGTTCTGTTTTTGACTTAGTTTCGGCTAAGAAAGATAAACATTGCTTGGTCGAACCCGTGACAAATGTCCAGAATTAGGGGAACGGAACCAACAAAACTAAGTTGAAATTACCAATAGAATCAATGGGTTCTATCATAACAAAATTATTTGCTCTCCAGTTGGTTCCGAATCTCTTTGGAACCGAACTACTTGGAACCACACCCACCCGTGACTCAAATGGGGAAGCCACTTTGGCTGGTCCGGGCCGAGACAGGCAAAGACATGGCTCGTAGCTATGGCTCGAGCTAGACCAGCAACCAAGCTGTGCCAATCATTCAATAAAATTACTTGTTTGTCACAAGATCATGCTCAAGATTCTAGTAGGATATTCAACTTTATCAAGCCAGCTTCTCTAAACTCTTGAACCTTCTACTCGTGTATTGATCGACGATTTTTAAATTTAAGTCGATGTAATCCAACCTGCATGAATAGTTGACCCAAACAGATACCGTGTAACTATAACTAGTTTATCCAATTTTCACTTTCAATTCACTTGCATCACATATTTACAAAGCCATTAATTTTAACACAGTATCTATGCTAGACCGAACATGTTTGAACCCGAATAAAGAAGATAAACATCGTGTCCGATCATACCTAGTCCACTGTACTTGAATCAAACATATAGCACAGGGTTATTGAAATCTTATCTACCACCTACTTAAACGAACACTATATACAACCTACTATAGAATGGCATTAGAAAGAAAAATGCACATTCGGCAAAAGAATTAACACAGAACCTACACGAGTCAAGTTCTCTCAGCCGGGGTAAGATGTCACAAGTGTTCAACAAGATTACTCACACTCCTTGCATTCCACCAATGTTTCCCAGGATCTACTGGTTGTTGTTCGCTTTTACTGCCATCTGTACCTTCAGTCGAACCAGGATTTTCCGTAAGAAACTGTTCCCAGAATCCATCATTGACCCCTGTTCGCACATTGGATGTCATATCACCGGCCTGTACTGCTGCTGCAGAAACCTGCGGAACAATGCTAGTGTTCGGCTCAGCGTTCATATCAATCTCAGAAATCTTGGACCCAACATCAATATTTAGTTTTGAGCAAGATACTGCAGGGCTATTTGCACAATTCGTATTTTCGTCCGACCCCTGCAATGAATTACATTGATCTATACCTTGACTAACATCAAGTACTAGATTCTCCCAAAAGATAAGTGAAGATTCCAGCTGCTCCAATAATTCATCGTTTGAGTTAAAAAGGGAAGTTGAATTAAAAAAATTTCCAGACTTTTCTATGCTGGCTTGACCATACAAGTAACTGTTTCTCGGAAGCCTTCTCTTTCTATCATCAACTTCAACTTGAGGCACGGGATTTAAAGCAAGTTCTGGTTTCTGTAAGGTTTGACCCAAAGAGGATAACATATTCTTATGCTGCAGTTCCAAATTCTGCACACATTCCATCAAACCTTGCATTTGCACTTCAAGTTCTTGTTGCTCGTGTTTATGTTTCTGCAGTTCCAAATTCAATATTTCTTTATCGCGCTTTAACCTCTCGATATCATCCTTATAGCCTTTCCTTTCTGATTTAGTTAGCGGAGGTAAAGAAGCAAGACTCTGTGCAGAATGACTGTGAATCGGCTTACGTCTATGAATGTTCTTCAAAAGTTGTGGCTGACCTCTGACAAAATCCTCATTAGCAAATTCCCATTGTTCGGGATCAATTTTCCTGAATCCCTGCTCGACAAAAAAAGGGTATTAACATACAAACTGTATATTAATAACTAAGATCTTGCTTGATATACTGTTCAATACTATCAACCAAACATACAATTATTGTAGTTACATATCCAGTATACATTATATGCTTAACAGAGCAAAAAGGCTTACATATGTATTTAGCTGTCTTACAAAACTGGAAAAGTTATTGTGCTTAAAGAACCTCGGCAGAAGATCCCGTGCAAATTCAAGAGGGTTCCATACGACAAAGCTATTGTTATTATTCCGACTCCACGAAACAATAGAGTCCGAGGAAGGATCATCTACCATCTCATACGTCTTTGTGAGGAAAGGCGGCAATGAACTCGAACTGCTTTGAGCTTCATCCATATTGAATTTATTTCCGCATCACAATCCCTAAAATCTTTTGGCCTCAAAATAAGAGACATCAACAACAAGAACCGAAATCAACTAGGAGTGTAAATTTTTACCAATAAATGAAACTGAATTTCCTTCAAATTTTGATCAAGATGAAATGTTTCTCCCGTTAAGGGTAAATTCCATCAATTTGAAAATCATAATGTGTTCCAAATTAACACAATACCAAAATTCAATCCTGAATTCCTACGTGTAGTGCCAAATTCAATCTCTGTACAAAAACCTATCTCATGTAGTGAAATATCCACAATTTTAATTCAAAAACCCAAAATGGTATTTCTGAACTCTATTCTTTTCAAAAGTCTGGCCGACCACAAATTTATGGAAAACAAAGCTTATTTCTTCTAGTTGTGTCAAACTCAATTCTGTTTTTCACCAAAATAACTTCAAATTCAACAAGTTCCCCGATATCCCCACCTCATAAGTCATAATCCGTTTGTAATTCCTCAAAATCCAATTCTTTTACTACAAAAATGGCAGATCAGACAAAACCCAAATGGATAACCAAAGCAACTTCCACCGATCAAAGCTTCTCAGAAATAATAATTCCCTGCATTTATATATGATACCACGGAGAAAAGAAAAAAGAAGAAGAACAAGAAGAAATCCAATGACTTACATATCAAAGTCGTTAGAATAGTGACTCTTTGTCTCAATCTTCAAGCAAAAGCATCAAATATGATAAAAACACATTCACATGACCGCCGGAGAATTTTCAGGGCCTCAAAAGCGCCCAACGATTGTCTTTCCGTTGGTACATTCAGGTTTGAATTTATATCAGAAATGAAGATAGAGGTCCGATGGATGCGAGACTTTCTAGAATTTAATGACAGCCAAAGAATTATAATAATTATAAGATTTTACAGCGATATGATTATGCCAAAGTAGACTGCATAGATACCCTTGGGTTTTAGAAAATGAAACAAATAGCCCATATTTTGTGGTTGATTAATTAAAGATTAATGCTATTTAACATCACTAGTATTATTTAAGTGGCATTAATGTAACATTAAATGAGAAATATTATTAAATGAGTTACTTAATTACACATTTCATCAAATCTATCACTAAACATCACCTAAAATGGTGCCATAACAGTAATGGTGCTAGATAACATTATATCACTTTTTGGGGATATGAGTCGAAGAAATAACAAGAATATTTCTAGTGGAACATCTTTTAGAGAGATGGTTGGTCGAAATTCAATCTTTTGCCTTAAAAAAAATATAAGAGGGACGAATGTAGCTACATTATAGTAATACATCTATGTTAATAGATAGTAAAAACTCCATACAATTGATCTTTTGAACCCGTTGCACAAGTTGTGGAGCATGTGGTTTAGTTCGATGCAAAGCGAAGAACCCTACCAAAGCTTGATATGTTGTGAATCATCTTGAAAGAGAGGGATGCCTTCGGAAAAGCGTCTAAGTGGGGTTTCTCTCGCTATTGGTATAGTAGGCCCCAGTGGAAGGCTCGCACCTTTGTGAGGGTTTCGTGTCGTTTCAGTAGTTCTTTCGCTTTCAAGATAAATTTTCCAATTTGTGCCTCAGACCTTATCAATATCTCAAATCAATGTATCGAGTCTATTTGGTAGCTAAATGGGCACCAAAAATCTGTTAACGGTTGGATGGTTAGGACACCCTATTTTTAGAGATAAAGAAGGGTGTGAACTTTTTGTAGTCACATGCCTACTTTTTGGAAATATTTCCAATTGTTTTGGTATACCACGATGATTCAAATAAGTTAAGTCAAGGATTATCTGAGTTAGAATCTTTGGATCGTCACTTATTCCATCAATAGATAGACTTTAAAAAAAAAACTTTTACTTTTTTTTATTTAAATTCTTTGTTAATTTTTTGGAATCCAGACACGAGGTCGAATATTAAGTATGAATCATAGTTCAAATATTTCTTAATCTAGTTCATATATTTTGTGTTCTAGATACTAGAATAAATATCTGACGAAGTATAGACTCTCTATCAAGATAATAGACCCATTCTCTATACTATCAATTTGATCAAATATAACAAAACATACACTCATATTCTGAAAATACAAAAAGAAATAAATTCCATGATCGAACTACCAAAATAGAATACAGTTAAATTTGGGATCCATTTGATATTTTCCTTGGGAAAGATATCTCATTCCTTAGTCGGAAAGATTTGTGACCATAAAAGAGAAAGATAAATGAAGAATATAGAGGGTGTTTGACACCCATTTTCAAGGAAAAATAAATTTTAGAATAGTAAATTGATAAAAAATGTATGGACGAAATTTTTTTGATTTACGTGTAATAGTATTTTAATGAAAAATGTGTGGTTGATAAGAAGGGAGAGAAAAATACATTTTGAGAAAAATGGGAATCAAATTTGGCTTATATACATATAGTATAAGAATCATATTAGACCGGATAATTTAACTAAAAAAATATTGAGAATGCCATAAACTAAGCCACTACATTGACAAGACTTGAGGAAGAAGTCATGGTTGGTAACTCCATGCCAACAATTGCGATAAGACGAGGGGATAAGTGTTCTTCAAAAAGATTGGGCACTTGCATAATTTGACTACCTCGTTTGTTTCCCATTTTTATAAGAATGAGAATAAAAAATATAGTCATTACGATCCACACAAGAGATAAAAATTCAAATTTAGTGATTTGATGTGATGGATAATGATCATATTTTTCATTTTAATGGGGAAAGAATGGAAAACAATTAGGGGCTTATTTTGACAAAAAGACGGGGACATATTTTCTTTTTTGTCACTCAGTGTAATTGGTTATTTGGATAGTAATTATTATTTTACTCTTGGATAAATAATTTTTCACTTATAAGTAAGACGGAAAAATATCTAAATATTTTTAAAATATTACTTAAAAAGTTAAAACAAACATGTTCCTTGTATTATTGATAATTCTTTCAAGCACATGGAGAAGATTGGATGGTTAGTTATTGTCCCCATTTGCTAAATTTTTCTTAAGAATTCTAGTTTGCAAATTCAATGAGGCATGTGATAAGAACTATTTTAATATGAAAGAAGTTATTTTATATAAATTTTATAATTTTAACAAGAGATTAGAACCCTATTATTAGGTTATTAGCTGGCACTATGGATTCTATTGTATATTAAAATAATTAGAATTTATTAATTTCCTCTACTTGATAACAAAAATGTTATTTTTCGACAAAATATTTGCATAATTATATTCAACATATGAATTCAATATAAAATTCTTCTATATTGTTTCGCGAGTTGCGATGTACTCTTTCTCTATCACTAGGTCAACTCGTCGAATTATAGTGCGATCTTTACTTGCGGCATCTCTAACTATTTGGTTAGCGTCTTTTACTTAATGAATCACGCGTTGGAAACTTAGCTCACTATTTCTCATATTTGTAAACTCATTAACAATTATTGAATGCTGGAACTAACTCGATTTTATTTTTTTGCATTAAGTTCAAAGCTAATGTTACTTTAGTAAGTTCTCTATCTTGAAGACTTGAATCAAATAGGAAATGTGACTCCATGTGATGTAGGATCGAGGCCCTTGTCCTATAAATAGGGACCTAGGGGACGACCACCATAGCATTCACTTGTGGCCATACCTATAGAGAAAAAAGGAGAGAATAAGTTCTCTTATTTTTTTTTGGTCCGTTTCATAATCTTGGAGTTTTTATTTATTTATTCTTCAGGTGTTTAAATACCAATTGCGGCTTATACTTTGAAAGAATACCAAATAAGATTTGAGGATTGAAAGCTTGATTCAAGATACAACAATGGGATTGAAGAAGTTGTTGTCCATATGAAAAAGTTTGATCACGCTTCGAGAATAATTTCGTAATCCTTTCGTGTGATTTTTTATATTATAACGTGATAATAATTATTTAGTAAGTAATACAAAAAAAGATCATAAACTTTGAAGTCTATAATATTCGTTGTTTCTATTTGTTGATCTTAGATCTTGTTTGATTGCAAAGGTGGAAAAAGCAAACCAATTTCATATAAGTTGAAAAAGAAAAACCTATCAAAATTATAGGAATGCATTTTTCACTCAATTGATCAAAAATATGATTTAAATCTTTGTACCTTGGAATTGAAATTCCATTTTCACTTTTGTATCAAACAGTCAAAGTAGAAAACGAATTCTTGAATGTAACATTTTTCATGGAATTGAAGCCAATCAAAAGGTTCTTAAAGTTTGTCCAAAGAATTTTTACTATCGATATGCAAATTAAAATAATGCTAATCTAAAAATTCAAAATGGCTTTGTGGCTTTGAGTTTTCATAAAATTAAAGGGCTCATATGATTATGCCAATTGGAAAGCCTAATCTATACAAAAAGAAATGCTCATGCCTTGACAATAAAGGCGTCGTGGAATATTGATATTTGATGTCGCCACCACGCGTGGGACATGACGTTGCGACCATTTTATATTAATTTTTTTAATGTTAATATATTGTCGTCTGGTCCCATTTTATGACGTTAGTGCTTAAGTGGTTTATCTGGAATCTTATTTTTCTATTGCTTGGGGTGCAAGATAATCGTGTGGCTTGGATTTGTCGACGCGGTTTTTAGATTGCAATTGTGTTTCCAAATAACTAAAATTATGATTTCATGAATATGTTAAAATTCGACTTGATATCTGATGCTATGTGATATATCCCCATTTGTGCGCGCTTAATTCCAAAAAGTGTATTATGAAATAAAAATCGATGTTGAAATGTGTGGTTAAAAAAAAAAAAATTTTATTTATTTATGTATAATATTATTTTAATGAAAAATATGTGGTTAAAAATAAGTACTGTAGAAAAAAATAACGTGATAGAATGTAATAGAATGGTTGACAAACTAAAGCATAAATAGCGAACTATGATGATCAATTAATCGAAGGCAATTGCCCGATAGACCTTCCTTCATGTACATCAAAGTTTACTTATGATATTACATAATGTCACGTCGTACTCTATTATTTGTCAGTCTAAAATACAGTCAATTTTTTCATCCACATCATTTTCGATAACTACTTATGTATCTGTTTTTATGTACAAATAACAAAATTCATTGTCCGATTATTACTATGATCAATTGACTACAACGATGATCAATCAACTATAACAATCTATCGACCGACCGAACAATGGATGGTTGATCACTAGGAAGCTCAATCTACAACTTTATCACCCCAAGCCAGTCATCCAAGTATTCTTTTCAAATCGCCTATCTTTGATTTCGTCAACGGCCTAGTCAGAGCCGGTCCTGTGATTTATGGGCCCTGAGGCGAAGCGTGTAAAGTAGGCCCCCCAACGAAAGCAATTTAAATATAAAATTCAACGGTATATTATGCGATCTATTACTAATTTAAAAAACTAACATTAAAACAACAACTAAATATATAATAGAAATGATTTATATTATAAACCATCAAAACCAACAATGTTTCAAACAATTAGTTGAATACTATTCGTCTTGCCGTTTTAGAGGCAAAAACATCAATCAAATCTGAATAATTTAGCTGCCCAACCATTTCTTTTTCTATTGATAACATAGCCAACCCGTTTAATCTTTCTTGTGACATAGTTGATCGAAGATAGGTCTTGATCAACTTCAATTTTGAGAAGCTTCTTTCCGCAGATGCAACTGTAACCGGTATGGTTAACAAAATTTTGTAAGCAATATAAGCATTTGGATAACAAATATTGTGAGTCTTCAAATATTGCAGCACTTCAATTGCTCTTGTTGTTTCATTTGGTAAATAAATCTTCAAGACTTGTAACTCCGAACATAAATCATCTCCACTGATGTCCGAACGCCCATCATGTTCAAGATATTTCTCAAGATTCATACAAGAGTTCAACAAACTTGATAAAGTTGCATCCCTTAACCTTTTCAAATTAAACAAAAATCCAAATATGTCATCATATTGTTTGAATTGTTCAAACCGACCCCTCAGAGAAGATAGAGCTTGATCAATTATAAAAACAAAGTACTCAACTCTAAAAGATTCTTCTGCCGATTGCTTTACCTCATCACTACCGCTTTCATCAAAATGTTTTTTCCTTCGAATTATGCGTTTTTCTGTAAATACAGCTTCAATTCCCATTTCATTTGCCTTTTTTGTTGCTTCATCCATAGCAACGGCAAATCCGATTTCTCTATAATCTTCAAAAAATAAAACAAGTCCTTGCAATAGATCGATAGCATGATCAATATCCATGGATTCAGTTTGAAGAAATTTACTCACAATATTGACTGCATGCAACAACCTGTATCAGATTACTATGCCAAGCAAGAACTCAAAATTCTGAAGTTCATGCGTTGCTAACGACTCGGCTTCACTTTTCACTTTAGGATCTTCGTTAGATTCTGCCAAATCAAGTAAGGCTTCTCTTATCTGTGCAGTTTGCTCCATTATAGGCTTCACACTCTCAACATGACTTTCCCAACGTGTTTGTGACAATGGCTTCACTATCAACCCTTGTACATTATCTTTGAAAATGTTTCATCGCTTGGTAGAAAAGGAAAACAATGTGTAGATGCGTTGTATCGCTCCGAAGAAGGATACAGCTTTGGAACAACATTTCACCATATCACATAATGCTAGATTTAGACTATGAG